GTACGCACCATACGCGTACGTCTGGGAGTGTGCCGCAGGCGTCTCCGGACGTGGCAACAAAGCCTCGATCCGTCGGATCATGCGAAAGGCCTCGTCCAGATCGGACGAAGAGGCCCGGCGGTCCACCCGCAGGTGCAGGCTCGCGACCTCTCGCTCCACCAGGTCCAGGCGACCCGCAAGACGAGCGAGCTCGCCCTGATTCCCGGCCTGGGCGGCAGCATTACCGCCAGTCCCAAGGCCAAGTGCAATCTCAAGCACGAGGAGACGTTGACGGAGGCGGTCAACCTCAGGGTCCCGTGTCGGACCCGCAGTCGGAGCACTCGAGCGAGAGTGGCTCTCGGGAGGCGCCGAGTACTCGTACTCGTACGAGGGCACCTCCGCCCCTGCTTGACCGGAATGGAGAAGTCCACTTCCACGTGGAGCGGATCCTCCAGGAGCAACGGTGTCGCGGGAAGCGACAGCTCCTCGTGAAGTGGAGGGGTTATGCCCACTCCGAGAACTCGTGGGAGCCGATTGAACGGCTCCTGATTGACTGCCCGAAGGCTGTCGCAATCTGGGAACAGAAGCGGCGGCAGCTTCATAAGTAGTCCGGGGCTTCTTGCCCGAACGGGGTACGGATGATGAATACATACCGTACCCGCGCTCATCGTGAGCGCTAGAAGCCGCGCGCTTCAGGATGTCCCTTGGCAGCATACGCTTGCTGACCAAGTGGGCAAACCTTACACGAAGATCACGCTGGTCCAGGATGTGGGGCAGCTGCTGATCTTCATGGAGTTCCCGTAACTCCGTGGGCGAGTACTTGAGAGTCTCCACCCACGCCCAGAACATGTCCTCACAAGAACTCCATGTGGGACAGTTCTCGGGCATAACCCAGGGGTATCCCCAAACAGGATAGAGACCACCCCGGGTCTCGGGCTTCTTACGACAAGTCGTGAAGTCCTTAAGGGGAATGCGGTGTGGCGCGAGAAGCACACACCGAGCAGCCTCCACGTTGTCGACGAACAACTGTTCTTTCTGAACAAGGGCTCGTTCATAGATGCCCCTAGAAGTGTGGCCGCCCACAAGGCCACGAGGAGCGACAAGAAGCTCTAAGAAGAGGTCAGCCCCAGAGCTCTCCTCGGGAGGCCAATACCCTCTTGAGTTGATGGCAGCTCCCTGGTTGACGGGTGCCGCCACCGAACCCCCACGCACACGCTGGGCAGCTTGGAAATCCTCCTGCTGCTGGTCGAGGTCATTCGAGACCTCCCGGGGCTCAACAATGGCACCCTCCTCTTCCTCTTCTTCCTCCTTCTCCTCCTCTTCATCCGAGGAGTCGAAGAGACTCTGATAGGAGCGTCGAGTCTCCTTCTCCTCGCGGAGTGGAGACTTAGAGGCGGTACGCTTCTTTGAGGGCTTGGCGCCTTCGGCTTTAGAGGCCTTAGCGCGCGCAAGACCCTCGGCAAGCGAGAGACGTTTGCGAGGACTCCCTTCCTCATCGCCACCGGCTTTGGGAGTGCCCTTAGCCTTAACGGCCGGACTCTCAGAGCGCACAGAGGTCCTGGGACTGTGATCACCGTGATCACTAGCGGACGACTGCACGCTGTCTTCTTTGTGCTCACTGGGCACTGGGCTGTGCCCTCCCACAGAGCCCGCAGGAGCATCATGAGTGCTCTCGAACTCGGCATCGTCCTCACTGCCCGAGTTGAACTCATGTTCTACGAACCGAGGGTTCGGACGATTGTCTGAAGACGAGGGCGACGGACTGCGGCGCCTGCTTGCGCGCTTGTCCGCAGCCGCGTCACCCGAGGATCCGATAGCCTCGGAGGCCACCTGAGTAGCCTCCTTGAGTGCAGAGCCTTTGCCGTGAGGCTTAGTGCTCTTGGCCTGCGCCTTACCGGCTGCAGCCTTGGAGCGTGTCTTAGCACCGCTCTTAGCAGTGCCACGAGGCATGGTACCGGTCGAAGTGGAGACCTTGACGAAGAGCGCACAGGCTGCTGCTCGAGGCTCTAACTGTAAAGTGAGCCTCCGCCGCGCTCGCGCGGCCGAGTCGATGGTTTTCGACTTTGAGAATAAGAGTTTGTGACGAACACCTCTTCATTCTGATTGGTCGGTAAACCGAACCTAAGTGGGGGAGGATGTAACGGGGTACGTAGCCCTAAGTGTACCCTGGTTACATGAAGTGTGACACTTCACACTTCAGGTGTATGACACGTCATACTCCGGGATATTTGGTACAAGGTACCAAGGTCGTTCAAAGCCAACCATTGGTCAAACGATATTGCATTTCTATAGGTAACTTATAGTTTGTATTAAACCCAAACTTAACCTACCTATAAATATACTCAGTTTACAATCTACCTTATTTAGGTCACTTCGCTCTCTTTAACTAAAGAGGGGACCTGTGAACTGCCGTTCACTGAGAGTTTGTATACTCTCGGAAGATAACTTCCTCTAGCGCAAGGTGCTGTGTGACCCCGTCAAATATATAATGTAGAATGTAAACTGAGTATATTTTTAGGTAGATAAAGCTTGGGTTTAATACAAACTAAAAGTCATCTTTAGAAATGCAATGTCATCAACCAATGGTTGGTTTTGGACGGCGTTGGTACCTTGTACCAAATATCCCGAAGTATGACGTGTCATACTTCATGTAACCAGGGTACACTTAGGGATACGTACCCCGTTACACACGTGCTCGCGTCCTTGATCAGGCGTTCTCGATCTGGAACAGCCATTTGCGTACGTCCTCTCCCCTCTTGTCCGTGAGCTTGGACAGATTAGTCGGCACTCGTGTGCGATCTGCCATCACTTGATCGAGCCCGTCGAACTCGGCTTGCAAAGAAGAGTTCATCGGTTTGGCGCTCTCTTTGTCAGGTGGATCGTGACCAACAAGTGCTACCAGTATATCTGGCCCGAGGAGCTTGGGGTAAGGCGCACTCAAAGGAAAGTGCCGCCCCCGCAATTCAGACGATTGGAATCTTCTAGAAGCTTCCACCACCGCCCTACATCTGCTTTTGTATTCGTTACTATCCTTTACTAATTCCTAGTAGTACTAACCGCTCATTCCTTTAGGTCAATACTATCAAACAATCGGATACATTGGGTCTATGAAAACGCTTGCGTGTCATAAAGATCCACTAACAGGTGAAAAAGAGAACGGTACACGGCCGGCTAGAAAGACCTATAAAGAAAGAATTTTACCTGAACGATGCGGACCTAATTACACATGACTGTTGTTTAAACACGAATAGCACTTTATGTGCTATTTTCGCTGTGTTTTACGCGATACAAGCTTTCTGCAAATCGACTATTTCTTTGCAGCAACCACCTACTGGGCAAAATCGCTCTCTATCCGTTAAGCTACAGCAGCTTCCAATATTATTCGCTGTAGGTAACCAATGTACAATGAAAAAATTACACTCGATGGTCGTGGAGTAAAAGTCTTCTATCGCTATCGTGAACAAACTACAGCAGACGTACCTTACTGTTTCTCGAGTAGTTTAGCGGCTTGCATCTTGATCGCTTTCCCCATTTATGGTCGATTTTAGCTAAATGACCACCCCAAGCAACTCTCCAAGAAGAACTTCAGTTGCAGGAATTATCCCGTCCGATCAAGAGCGGGAACTCTGTATCAGTAAGAATACCATTCGCTAAGTAAACATTGTAGTGATATACAGCAATGAGTAGAAACTATTTCGATCAAAGTGCAGGCCCAAGGCCTCTCCATTGATACCGGTAGAGCCTTCTTTTTGCAACAACAAAAAATAAAGGAAAGTGGCTGTCTGATGGCTCAGCATCCTATGCCTTCGAGCTGCGAGGCCAATTGGTTTAAGATCATTTTTTCAAAATAAAAGACTATTCTATACTAACTTCCTATCTTCAGTGTAGTTTTCTTTTACGAAATCTTATTGAACCGTTTTAAGATCCATTAAGCCAAAACTTTATACAAGCACCAATCAAAATAACCCATGGGCTTAAATAGCAATGAAGGTTCATGTCGAATGAAAAGCCGCGATTCTGTGCTGTAAGTTATTATCTGAGCCGATGTAGGCGTGCAGTATTATTTAAGTCTGGATTTTTTTTGCTTCGCCCTAAAAAACATTGACATTTATGTATTTAGAGATGCCCTAAGCGTTTCATCTTGAAACGCAAAAATCTAAGTTCGTTGAGGTTCTGCTGCAAACAAGCAATACAGAATGGGTCTCACATACTCTTCTGGTAGCTATCATTTAAATAGCACACGGCAATACATGAAGTCGAGCCACATTTTGGCCGCTCTTTACTGGTACATGTACACGTACGATACTTCAGTTTTTGTAGGAATAAATCCGTTTGTTTATGGTCATCCAAAATTGTGCTTATTCATACAGATTGTTCATCAAGCCCGAGTTCAGCATAAAGCCAAAAGCCAAACACAAGCTTACCGACTGGAACTGTGGAAAGGGTCGGACACTCGTTTCTTCCTTCCGACGCCGTCACTTTACAATCTTTTTTTTATCATTTTGTTTGAAGCAATGCATTTTCTCACAATCGTGAAGGCAATCTCCCCAGCAGCTGTCCCTTACAAACACGAAGTCAAAGTCCGTTGTCTATTCGTCCTAGAATTTCAGGATGGCGACAGTCGTGCCTGACTGACTCAGTTGACATTTCACTGCGACCGGAGCACCTTAAAGGCAGAACAAACCATGTCGAAAGAGCGGTTCAGTGTCAAGCCTTATCCAGAGTTGCAGGTGTCCGAAGAGGAGCGCAAACAGTTAATCGACCTCGTGAACAACTTCGTGAAAGGTCATTTCCAGGAATACGAAGATTTCGTAATCGTCAACAAGAGCCAAGTGGATGTGAAACGCTGGAAGCATGTCAAGTCCAAGGACAACCAGCACGTGTACGCCGAGCGTCCTCAATGGGAGAATAGAGACCGAGACACGCGTGCCATGTCTTGGGATCCAGCCACCGCAGCAGCAGAGAAAGGGTTACCGGTTGTTCTGAGTGTTGGGACGCTAGTTGGAGACGTCGACGACGTCATGTTCGGAGTTGTGAATCCAACTCTAGACGTTATGCGGATTAAAGCCTCGTACGTGCATGATCTCGACAGTGCCTCAGTATTGTGCCCCGTTGTCGAACCTAGTGTGGACGCACCATTCGAATCTCTAGTCATCAAGTGGATGACGATCGACCTGCCTCTACAGTCCACAAGTCTCGTTAAAAGTCGCGACTTCGTCTACATTGAGGCCACGGGAGTCGTACATTTCTCGAATGGTGAACGCGTTGGATACCATTTGTTACATTCTATCGATTTCCCGCAGACCAAACCGTTGCCCTCTATGATTCGAGGGAATCTTTCGGTGTTTGGATTCTTCCGACAGATCGAGCAGAATACTATTGATATCTACGCGAGCGGTACAGTTGTCCCTGGCGGGAAGATCGCACGGTTTCTATCGGTCCAAGTGGCGGCGGAAGCGCTACTATCAGCGACGAATTATGTGTATTGTGGCCAGATGAAGAAGTTATCGTGGATGTTACAACACCGACACTCGTCTTTCGAGCGACAAGACCAGACACGTAGCGAGACTTGTGTGGTATGCGAAAGAAAAGTGACCAAAGGGATCCGAGGCTTCATTGGCGCTAGCACGTGCAAACTGTGCTACGGCTGTGTCTGTTACTCGTGCAAGGTCCGCAAGCGTATCAGCTTCATCGCGATGGATGATCAACTTATTCGACGAAAGATTTCTTTCTGTACGAAGTGCGTGAGTGAGGCGACCAAGTGGGATGCGAAAGAGGCAGCGAAAGACCAAGCGACAGGATACCGAGCGTATAAAGCCTTTTCGACTTCCTCGCAGTCCGATACTAGAAGTACTGCATCTTTGTTGTTCTTTGATTAGTGCAGATTATTTGAATGTTAAATTATTCATTGCTCTTGGGAAGTTACGTCATAAAAACTAAATTGGCGTTACCTGATAAGGTGAGACCGGTAATGCGCTTGTTTTAAGCTTACCGTACTGTACAGCTTCGATGTTAAAGTCTTAGCTGTCAAAATAAATACATTTACTTAGTACTGCGAAGTTCTTCTCACGTTGAGCCATTCAATGTACTGTATTGTCCAAACAGCTATAACACCGAAATATATGTCAACTTCGGTACTTAAATTAGCTGTAAAATGATACCAAATATCACTTGTTGTCGTTTTTGTTGCCAACGAAGCATCGCATCAGATTTATTGAAAAAAATTAAATTTAAAAGCTTCAGAGACCCAATTCAAAAAGATTAGGGCACGAAGATAACTGGCATTTGGAATTGCGTTAGAAGTTCGGTCTTTGCTTCTTACCAAGATTTTCAGCACCTATTATTAATTCGCGAGAACAAGAATGAAGAGATCATTCCGAGCTCGTACAAAATAGAGCTTGCGCCAAGAAATTATGAATACGTTTCAACCAGAGCTTGAAGTCGTGCATGGTCCAGTGAGATTGGTCAATGATTGTCGGTATTATAATCAGTGCATTCGCTATCGATAACCGAAAAATCCGACTTAAGTTGCTGTGTTTGGGAGCGCTGTTTCAAAAACATCTCAAACGCCAGAGAGATAGCCGTGTGCTGGTATGATTCCAGCGCTCGTAGAGACGCTTCTTTTCTCGAAAACCGACTTCAGATACCGGAAGTTGAGTGGGAATCCGATCGAAAAAGAAAGATAAAATAGTTCAAGCGCGTTGTTCTCGTTCGTCTTTTTTTGTGTTGATACAGAGCCCGAGTTAGCATAGAGGTTTCAAAATAGCGTTTGGCAACTTTAAGTCTCGCAGATTTCACTTTTTTCTGAAATATTTTAATATTTCAACGCTGAGTCGACCGTAAAAAGCGCCTCAAAGCTTTGAGAGAACGACGTAGCGACGTCTGATACAGCCATAAAACGACGCTAGATTGGGGAGACGATACATTATGAAGTACAGTATTCATAATGTGTCGTCTCCCCAATCTGCCTCATTTCTTTTTACCTTTATGTGGGAAATTCCACAGTATAAAGAGGTCTGTAGCTCAACAGAAACAGTTTATGACAGCATAAAAGTAATTTGTTCCAGCTCGACGTTCAGACGCTCACAACGATTCTAACTATGGCGTATGCTTCACAATCCGCAGTCGCTTTCCAAGCACAAGTTTACGATCCGTGGCTCTATCGAGATTTGACATCAAGAAGGTTTGGGGCAATCGATGCTTTCGAAGCTGTACGTACGTGTACAGTATTAATACATGTATGAAAACAGCACAACGCTGCGTTCGTCGATCACACGATAGGTTTGTTGCACCACGGGACCGACAGTCAGGGACTTGCACGGAAGAAAGACAACAGCGAGCGAATGGCAAAAGACCGGTTCACAGTTAATCCTTACCCGGACCTCCAGGTACCTGAAGCAGAGCGCGAGCAGCTAATTAAACTTGTTGATGGATTCATCGCCGATCATTTTGAGGAATACGAGAACTTTGTCGTCGCCGATAAGCGGCAGGTAGACGAACAACGTTGGAAACACTTGAGGACTAAAGACAAGCTGCATGTATACACACAGCGACATGAAAAGGATTCTCGCAAGAGTGATACCACCACTCCATTGAAGGATATGCCAGTGTTGATGCGCGTGGGAACCCTAGTTGGCGAGCTGGACGACCTCATGTTTGGCGTTGTAAACCCTACGTTGGATACCATGCGCGTCAAGGCGTCGTATGTACACGATCTCGACGCTGCCTCGATATTGTGTCCGATTATCGAACCAAACAACGACGAACCGTTCCGGTCACTTATTATCAAATGGATGACGAGCGATGCGCCGCTACAGTCCACAAGTATCGTGAATATGCGGGACTTTGTGTATATCGAGGCGACGGGTGTTGTCCACTCCAGTAATGGCGACCGTGTCGGGTACCACTTGATCCATTCGATCGAGTTCCCACAGACAAAGCCGAGACCTGACGTGGTACGTGGGAATGTGTCATATTTTGGCTTCTTTCGACAGCTTGAGCACAACGTTCTCGATGCATTTGGGTCGAGTACATGTGCCCCCGGAGGCGACGTGATGCGGTTCATTTCGCTCCGTGTGGCTTCAGACGCTCTTCTCTCGGCAAAAGATCTGGTGTATTGTGGACAGATGAAGAAAGTATCGTGGATGCTACAGCGTCAACACGCGAGTGAGCGCCAGAGTCAACGTGACGAGAACTGCGTCATGTGCGGTAAGAGACCGACGTCAGGACTTCTGCGTGGAATCGGCAAAAGCACTTGCAAGCTCTGTTACGGACGTGTGTGCTCCTCGTGCAAGATTCGAAGACGCATCACTTTTATTGCATTGGATGGCAAGCTTACACGGCGAAAAATATCATTCTGCTCGAGGTGTATTAGCAAGGCTACAACGTGTAGCGCGAAGGAGGCTGCCAGGGACCAAGCTACCGGATACAAGGCTTATAAAGCCATGTCGACATCGTCCATGTCGGATACGATCTCTGGAGACGAGATGGTCTAATTATGTTCTCGTTACGATCTTTCATTGTTGTTTTAAACACAAATTGAGTTTTGTTTGGTGAGTTGAGAAAAATGCGTCGGGGTGTAACGGGGTACAATCTAGTGTGCCCTATGTTAGATAAAGAGTGACCCGTCACTCTTGTGGACACCTGGTACACGGTGCCAGGTGCAGACGCCTATAGTAAGCACCTGACATACCTGCAGCAGATATTACAGGCATAACGATCGAATAAATTCGTAAAAATCGTCTGAGTAATCCACCCTTCACCTATATTTAATCTCTGTAGTCATCTTATCGCTAGATCTAGAATTTTGTATTGAAAATGCTGACCTTCGCTCTGAACTGACCCACAATCACTCTCTCTGCATATTTCTCGCATATCTCATTTTTGCGCTCAATCCACACTTTCGAAAATCGGCCGTTGAAAGCAAAGTGCCGCCATCGCAGCGAAAAATACGTACTCAAGGAGCTTGGAGAAGAATGTTTGCTAATAGTATTTCTTCTTGCAGGAGATGGATCACTCGGCCACGTATTGGCGCGAGCGGTGCATTGCAGATTCGTCGACGGAGGAGGAGAACACGTCTCCTAATCTCCACACTGGTGTTGCCTATGATCTGGACGGGTACAGCTCAACAGGCACTTCGTCTGTAGTGAAGTATACGCGGGGACACTCCGCCAATTGGTGATGGATCGCGGGCATCAGCATCTCCGTCACACACGTGCGCGCCACGCAGCCCGACGACATCATCGCCGGTGATGCTGGTGGCACCTCCGTCGTCACTGCTTCGTCCGCGCTACGCTATCCTGTAGGCGAGCATCGTTTATCACGGCGAGAGCGTCGGGCTGCTGCTGACACATACCGCCGACGTCATGGTCATCCTCGTGAGCCAGCGTCGCCGTCGGTAAGCACCAGCACGGAGTGTAGCCATCCGTTATACATCGCAATTTTAGTAGGTCAGAATTAGATAATTGCTGCATCTGAAACATATAGACAGCAACACAAGAATATTAATTGGCTTGTAGCAATAATGAGAGTCAGAATAGAGACCTACACGGAAGTTCTTGCCGTCTATGAACCCGAACGTGTGTTCCAATAGCGGCTCGCGGGAATTGACCATCGTCGCCAGCTCTCTCTGTCGAGATGGCGACGGCCATGAAATACGTGCTAGATAGAAGTCCTGAAGGGCGCGCGACAAAGCCTTTTCGGCCTTACGTAGCGAGCGCGACAACGTGCTGGCGGGAACCCCGAGCAACATGCACAGTGTCGAGTTCTCCATTGAACCCACGTAGAAGCAAAGCACAAGTCCTAGGGCTCGATGGTGATATCGTAGCTTCGGTGGCCGGCCTCTACTTCTCGCCAAGGAAGGTTGTAGAAGCGCGAGAATATTTTAAGTAGGTGTTTGAAGGCAGATCAGCGTAGTATATAGTAGCAGCTGTTACGAACAGTGCGAGCATTATCCACACCTCAATAAAACCTACCTCGTGAGGTTTGTAGCGTTTATGAAGTTCGTGTCGAGGCCGTTCCGGTAAAGGGTCATCCCTCGCGGCCACGCAAGGAGCATCCAAGCATGACACCGTCAGGTAGTGACGTGTACGCATGGCAACGCGCCACGCGCTCTCCATCATCTGCTGGTGCAACTCTACCCAAACTAGCTTCGCGCCGCGAGTGTGCGATTTTTTGGAAGTCGTCCAGGGCATGACTACTTAGCTCCACTAAAGGTAGCCTCTAGTTTGTATGGAGCCCAAGCTAATCTTACTTATAAAAACATCAGTCTTACATCTGCTCCTCTAGGTAGCAATCCGTTCCCTTTTGAGGCCGAGAACACGTGGACTATTATCCACTCGGGTAGTAAATACCCTTAAGCACTTTCTCTGTGCAAATGCTGGGTGACCCCGTCGCACTTGGTAGCACTCGTAGTCAATCCTACACCATCACGGGTAGATTGAACTTCCGGAATCCTCTGTGCGCTCAACGTTTGAGCTACGATGGACCGAAGCGAGTTTCCTCGCTTGAACGACCCACAGTACGAGTCTGTTCGGAAGATGGGAGGTATGTTTGGATAAGATGTCCTTCGCAGCTTGGCGGCAGGTACGCCTGCCGAGCAACACGAACGTGTGGCTGCGTTTGAGACCTACGAGCATGGTCTCATCGCTCACGTGCGCAGGAGTTTGGAGGCCTCGATGGCCGCTCCCCAGGCAACCAAGCCTAAGCAGGTATGGCTTAGGGTCCCCGCGTTTGAGGGGAAAGAAGGAGAGAACCTTCACTTCTGGGTCCGTGGGGTGGAGATCGCCATGAAGGCGGGTCTCATCTCGGACAAGCCACTTCCGGTGGCTTTCACCCTGTCCAACCTTGGTGGACGTGCCAAGCATTGGGCATACACCAGGGACGACGACATCTCCTGGATGCTTTGCATCCTGGGCTCAGCTGTGTGAGCAGCTTCGAGCCGCGTTCCTACCGGCAAACAGCGAGTTCCGCCAGCGCTCACGCTTTCTCGCGTGTAAGCAAGGTAAACATGAGCTGCCGGGAATCCTCTGCCTGAAGATATCAAGACAACAGTCTTCATGGACGACCTGAAGGTCGGTCCTGCTCGCACCCAGCTATTCCGGGTGCAAGCGACAACTATAAAGAAAGCTATTCGAATCGCCCTCCAAGAAGAGTACAACCAGAAGCAGGCTGGTACTCCTCGGGAAGAGGAACATCGCCACGATGAGAATGGCGTTCCTCAGAAGGCGGAGCATCGCAGCAATGATGTTCTTGCACCTGCTGTCACGCACTTTGTTGATACCGGTGCGCACGGCGAGCCCACACCCATGGACTTAAGCCAGCTGAGAGCTTGGTCCGCTACTACGGATGCCTCGTACATGAACACTACCAGCGTGTGTGTCCCTCGCCAGTCCTCGGAAAGCAGACAGACCGTGGACCCCAGGTCCGGTGGCGCAGGCCGCGGCCAGGTGGACCAAGACTCCCCGGCCACCAGTAGACGCGGTATGCCCTACTGAAAAGCAACAAGTTTTGTGATGGGTGTGCAGGCTGTGCACACCACGGGACTTAACCTGGAGAGAAGTGGTTCTTTCAAACCGGTGAGGGGCAGTGATGGGCTGCTGGTAGTACACTCGGTGTACGGGGGTGCGGTACCCCTTGAACGTTTGATGTGTTCTGGGGCGCTAAATTGCCGCCGGAATGTCGCTTGGCATAGCAACACCCGACTGCACTCTATGTCAGAGCGGTGGTCGCGGGCTGGTCCTTAGTGGACTAGCCTTTGGTACGCTGAAGGAAGTATCAATGGTTCTCAACGGACCTGAAGTTTGGGTTCGATGAACTCGCGCACCGCGGTGTCGCCGCAGCTTTCGCTATGAGCTACATGGCTGTATAGAACATAAGGCACAGCCCGGACTTTGGTGTGGCAAAGCTGAGAAGGGCCTACCAGTCCAGGTCTATGGTGGAGCATTGGTGACTCATGTTTCCATCGTCATGACTGGGGCGCCTGATACAGACCGTTAGAAGGCAGAAACGTTACGGAGCTGTCAACGCGCCGACAGCGCTGCGTACAGCAAGACCATGCTACGCTTCTGCAATGCCACGGGAATGGGTCTTTTGCCCGGCGTGTGGACCTGCTACACCAGCAGGTTTATATCTTTGAACATCAGCCACTCGCACGCTTCATGGATATCAGAGTCAGGACTCGCATCTAGGGTCGCTAACATGCGTTTGTTTCTCAGACCACGACGGAACAACTGGTAGCGCATCCGAGCATTTGGGGTTGCTCAACGACTCACACAGGTCGGACCCGATTCCTTCACCAACTCACCTATTTCACGCCTTCTGATCTCTAGTCGTTTCCACAGTTCGTCAGCCGTATGGTTTAAAAACTCGTTATGGAATGGAACCTTTAACATGAAGAACGTTGGATTGCTTTAGATGCCCCACCATCACTCCGCTTCTCGCCCCTTTAGCCTATGTCGAAATACCAACCGCCTTGATCGATCGGAAAGACCCTCCGTGTGGACTTCAAAGATCTACCAGAAATCACGTGCTTTCTCTACCGTCGCCGTGTCCGATTAGAATACCGGCGCCACCTTCATAGCGTTCGAAACCAACTGGGACAGACGAAACTGATCGGCCGTCCTCAGGGCTTGGTACGGAGTTACCACACTCTATCGAGTCACATAGGAAGCAGACAACGTTTGTGTTGACCCACCACGTCACGTCGTTGTAGTAGCCCCATTTAATGGCAATGCACTCACTCTCAAAACCGAACTCCATGCGGTATATGGCCTCCCACTCGACGGGGAAGTCGCAAACCTAACACCACTCGGGCGAGAGCGACTCGCAGACTCGTACGCACCGGGATCTTGGCAGTTATTTTCGGTCAGTAACCACCACGGACTACTCCGGTGCTACTCTCTTCACGCTGGGCGCTTCAACTATACCCGAACGCGGGATGGTCAGCCTGTCGGACTTCCGGTCCTCAATACCGGGAAAAGAACCCGCTGGACTTGCGCTCGCTCTTCACCACCTGTTCTTGATCATACGCAGCGACGTAAATCGAGTCATATGCCTCTTGACCGTCGTAGTATTCGCTGTCGTATCCATCATTCGTGTAGAGATCGTCATTGAGCGCATAGACACCGGCCACGACCTCGCTCAGCATCTCAGGCACTTTCTTGACTTCCG